CCGCGAAGGTTGAAGAAGATTTGGGGAAAAAATGGAGGAGACGATTCCTTTCAAGAGTTTACATAGCAGAGAGTATTCAGGTCACAAGAAGAAGGTTTCGTTTTCGATTTTACATCTTTGTTTGATATCTGTAGTTCAAATCTTACGAAACCCCAGCTTTTTTTTTTCTCTCTTCCGTTATCTGGTTACGAATTGCTGAATTTGGAGGGGGGATTTTTGGATTGATAGGTACATTCGGTGGCTTGGAATTCTAATGGAACAAAGCTTGCTTCGGGTTCTGTTGATCAAACGGCTCGTATTTGGAACATCGAACCTCACGGTCATGTAATTTCTTTGCTTTTTGAGCTGAAAACTTTTGTGATGATTCATATGGAGAAGTAACTTTTGGTAGTTTTGATTCAACTTTTCCTTTTGATGTTTGCTATTAGTATAGTTTCCATTCCATGGAGTTTTTGATGCAGATTGAGTTTGTCATTGATTAATATCGTTGTCATCGTCACTTTCGGTTTTGTACGCTTTGTAATTTGATTATTTTTGGGTTTGTGGATACAGAGTAAGGTTAAGGACCTTGAACTAAAGGGCCATACTGATAGTGTGGATCAGCTATGTTGGGACCCCAAACATTCAGATCTGGTTGCTACTGCATCTGGGGATAAAAGCGTTCGTCTCTGGGATGCTCGCAGTAAGTTATATTCTCTTAATAGATTAGCTTTGTGTCTGAAAAATGAAACAGGCTGGAACTTGGTTTAGAAATCTGTATATTTTTCGACTGAATTAGGCTAGTGTCATTTAGAAATATTTCTCTCAATCGTACCTGTTTCTTTTGAGTTATATCGTGGAAACATGCTTTGATAAGAATATGATTAATTGTCAGTTTCTAAGAGTTATAAACGAGTTATTTTGCTTAGTTAGATGCTATAACAGAGAAACTTAAGCACATTTTTCATATATAGCTACCCTTATGTGTTTTAGTATCAAAGAAAAATTGCTGAGATATGTTTATACAGGTGGAAAATGTACACAGCAGGCAGAACTTAGTGGGGAGAATATAAACATCACCTACAAACCTGACGGAACGCATGTAGCTGTTGGTAATAGGGTATTGTCTTAAGCCCCATGTCTTGAAACTTGCATTGTTCCTTGATGGACGTATTTATGCATTGTTTGATGGATCCTTAGTCTGTGTTTTGTTTTTGTACTTTCTCTTACTGGCCAATGTAGGATGATGAGCTTACCATTCTGGATGTCCGTAAGTTTAAACCTCTACACAGGCGCAAATTCAACTATGAGGTAACAAAACCTCAGACTTGTGTTAATCTTTATTAATGGATTGCTTTTTGGTTAGGGTCTTCTCTGTCTTATTCCAAGCTCATGCGATAATATTTCTCCTAAGTTCCTTCTTCATGGAGTAATTGTCTTGGTTGCAAAAGTTAGTACACGCTTTGGATATGTATCATAGAAGAAAAAATAATTTTCTGACAATGAATGGAACCTTTCCTTAGCTTTCGTCTTCTTGTAACAGGTAAATGAGATTGCTTGGAACATGTCAGGAGATCTTTTCTTCTTGACCACTGGACTTGGTGAGGATTTTAAATTCTGTTCAGATTCCCTATCTCAGATTTCTTTGTTTTTTTGAACTTGAGAAAATCATCTTATTGGAAAGTTACTTCCGTATGGTTTTCTGCTCAGGCACTGTTGAAGTTCTTTCATATCCATCTCTTAAACCACTTGACACACTCACAGCCCACACAGCTGGGTGTTATTGCATTGCAATTGATCCGAAAGGAAGGTAATGAATGTTTCATCGTCTTTTCCCTCTGAGACACAAATGAAATATAACTTTTCTAGTTGCATCTAATTCCTCCCCTTTACCTTGACAGATATTTTGCTGTTGGGAGTGCGGATTCCTTAGTCAGCCTTTGGGATATCTCAGACATGCTTTGTTTGAGAACATTTACCAAACTTGAGTGAGTCCCAACCTCAATATAACAGAAAGGTTTAATTTATGTTGCATGTTAGTAATTATAACTATTTCTCACAGGTGGCCTGTCAGGACAATAAGCTTCAATTACTCGGGAGAGTATATTGCTTCAGCCAGTGAGGATTTGTTTATAGATATTGTAAGTAATTTGTCAGACTTAAAACCTATAGTTACTATATAGTTTCCTCATTGTGAGATTTGTGCCTCCTATCTGACCACTAACTACCAAACAGGCTAATGTCCAAACCGGGCGGACGGCGCATCAGATTCCATGTCGAGCTGCCATGAACAGCGTCGAGTGGAATCCCAAATACAATTTACTTGCATATGCAGGTGATGACAAGAATCCCAAGTATAATACTGATGAAGGTATACTGCTGCATATTGATACTTCATTGTTAGCAACACACACAAACTCTTAAAATTCGATGCAGAAAATGAACAATGACAACAAGCTTTGGATCTCTGTGCAGGTGTTTTCCGGATATTTGGCTTTGATAGCTCTTAGGAACAGAGCACCGGATCTGGAAACATGATTAAGTTTGACCCCTGTTGAATCAGAAAAAAGTTTTTTTTGTGCCTTGTGTACTACTAAACATTTCTTAAGAGTATCAAGTTGTAATCTTACAGTATCAATTTTACATGGAAAGTTTGCAGTTCTGATTTTATATGAATCTGGCATTTTATTCACTGCAAAAATGAGTTACTACTAGTCTTCTACTATACAAGCTGTGTTCTTTTTCATTATAGAAATCAAAAAATGAAACTTTATGATAAAGATCAGAATTCTGATTCCGAGTTACATCAATATATGCGAGCGTATAGCTGCTAAAAGTTACAGGTTGTTCTTGAACCCCGGGGATTCTTCAGTCTGGGAGATTTGACAGAACCTCTCTCATGCTGATACAAAGGCCAGTGATAAGCTTTTGCTAAGATCGGACCAAAAGCTTCAATCCCGCAATGGAGGTTGAAGAAAGAATGCAGAGTTCTGAGAGACATAACACATTTATTCATCACTGAGAGTCCAGATTTGGATTAAAGAACAAGAGCAGATGATTTGCTTACCGAAAAAACAATGAATGAGTGAGTGAGAGTTTGGTTGATCTGTCAAAATCCGCAGAGGATGAACTTTGAGACCGGGAAGAACAACCCTGCAAAGCAAAGAAGAACAATGGTGATCAAATACTGAGAGAACCAAGTAACTGGTTTCCACTTGATCTCAACGCTTGAGCTCTTCATCCTCTTCCCACTCATTGGCTCCTTCGACAAATCAAAGCTCGACCCTTTCATCCTCAGCTCAAGAACACACCGTGTAAGCGTTCTGTTATCGTTCCTCTCTCTATGCACTCCTCTATAAACTTTCCAGAACATGAAAAGCTTAGCCTGCACCAAAAACACCAGAACCAATGAAGTGGCTAGTGACACTATAGAAGGTATCCACCATTTCTTGCAGACCGCATCGCTTTTCATCGCTTCATTATCAGCCGAACAAGAAGATGAGTAGACAATCGTGAACAGGAAACCATGGAAGACGAGGAAGAAACAACAGAGCTGAAAGATCTCTCTTTTGATGGACTCGAGCCTCGATTCTTTAAGAAGAACACGGCGACAGAACAGATCTTCTTCTCTTTGCCATAGCTTCAAAAGCAACAAATGTCCAGGACTCTCTGAGATTTCAGACAATGGATGCTGCTGAATCACCCTGAGTATTCCCATTCCCGGATTCGAGACAGTAACCAACTGTTGTTCTTGTTGCTGTTTCTGCCTCTCTTTATGCTCTTCGTCTACCGGAATCTCCACTACATGAGAGTCTTTAGTTGCAGCCATAGTGAAAATGATCGAAAGATTGATACTTTATGAAGAAACAGAGATCCGGATCTGGAAAGCAACGAGAGTTTATGGAAAAAAAAATGAAAAGATCGAACTTTATGAGAAACAGAGATCAGAAATGGAATCTAAGAGTAAGAAGAAGAAGATAGAATTGAGTTCGTTTTTGGTAAGATCGAAAATAAGAATTTCAGGTATTTAAATTGTTGTTTCTTAACGGCTATATACACAACGGTCGGATTTTTTTTTTCTCTTTACGTTTCGCTGTTAGTAACGTTGCGGTAAAAATCTGCCACCTTTTCTCAACGTAACGGCTATTTTCTTTTTTTATTGTTCCAACGTTAACGGCCATTATTTGGGCCTATAATGAGCCGAACAGTTTGCAATATCCTTTTAGTTTAGATTGAGCCCGGAACTAATAATCTAGTCCTCTAGCTTTGCTTTGCTCGTAATTCTATTTTTCCACCACAATATATTAAAATTTATAATATTTTGTATAGCAATTTTTATAGAGTTATTTATAGTTTTAATTTTTTTTTATTATTATATGATTATATAGAGAAAAATTCTGGTTGTAACGAAAACTTTTGGTTTTGTATTTTTTTAGTCACCAATTTCTTACTGTTATATTTGATCATTGACTAATTTTATTTTGAGAAATTTTAAAAAATGCCACAATTTTCAAGTGCTACTTTACAAAATGCCACAATTTTGAAATCTTTACAAAAATGCCACTTTTTCAAAATTATTTTTTCTTTATATTATTTATGTTTGGGTTAATTATATTCTATTAGAGTTTAGTTATGAGGGTTTAGGGGGGTTTAGAAGTCAAAACATTGTTTAGTGTTTAGAATTTTAAGATATAGGGTTTAAAAATCTATAATTAGTGGCATTTTTGCAAATGAACAACCCTAAATGGCATTTTTGCAAATGTGAACATAAAAAGTGGCATTTTTGTAAAAAGTGCCACTTTACAAAAATGCCACAATTTTGAAATCTTTTCAAAAATGTCACTTTTTCAAAATTATTTTTTCTTTATATTATTTATGTTTGGATTAATTATATTCTATTAGGGTTTAGTTATGAGGGTTTAGAGGGGGTTTAGGGGTCAAAACATTTTTTAGTGTTTAGAATTTTAAAATATAGGGTTTAAAAATCTATAACTAGTGGCATTTTTGTAAATGGACACCTCTAAATGGTATTTTTGCAAATACGAACATAAAAATACCACAATTTTGAAATCTTTACAAAAATACCACTTTTTCAACATTATTTTTTCTTTATATTATTTATGTTTGGGTTAATTATGTTCTATTAGGGTTTATTTATGAGGGTTTGGGGGGGATTAGGGGTCAAAACATTTTTTAGTGTTTAGAATTTTAAAAATCTACAATTAGTGGCATTTTTGCAAATGAACACCCCTAAGTGGCATTTTTGCAAATGTGAACATAAAAAGTGGCATTTTTGTAATTTCCCTTTTTATTTTGAAAATTTTCAAAAAATACCACTTTTCAAGTGTCATTTTACAAAAATGCCATAATTTTGAAATCTTTACAAAAATGCCACTTTTTCAAAATTATTTTTTCTTTATATTATTTATGTTTGGGTTAATTATGTTCTATTAGGGTTTAGTTATGAGGGTTTAGGGGGGGTTTAGGGGTCAAAATATTTTTTAGTGTTTATAATTTTAAGATATAGGATTTAAAAATCTATAATTAGTGGTATTTTTGCAAATGTTCACATAAAAAGTGACATTTTTGTAATTTTCCCAATATTTTTCTTCTAATTAATAGTTCTATTTTTTTTTGGGTCAAAATTAATAGTTCTATTTTAAATTTTTAAAATTCTTCTTTTATTGAAAAAAACAAATGATTTGAGGAGTTGCCTATTTTTGGTCAAATTTGAAAAATAAAACCTATGAAAACTATTGGAAATTACAATTTCGAGTTTCCGTATAGAATTCTCTATACACACAAGCCAACAAACATCAAAGTTTTGTAAGTTTGGGTTGAAATATATACCCCAAGAGATGTAAAAGCTCTTTATTTACATTTCTTCATTATTAAATGCTTTGAAAAAGCGAAACTTATTAATCTCTAGGAAATAGAAAAAACAGAAAACACCTAGTTAATCATAACCAAATGTTAACTACCAATGTAACCAACATGAAAACCAAACAATAAATCTAAGAAAATAAAAAAAAAACTTTGAACCAAATAAAAATCAAACCATATGATGAATGAGATCATCAGCTTGTAAATCCCACAAGACATTATCCACATTAAACAC